CCTTTTGAATAACGTTCACAACGAGCATACCTTAAAAACAAAAATATATTAAATCAACAGATTAAAAGGAATACTAAATAATTAAAGTAAAAGAATATAAAGATTGATCTTCATATGAAAGATTAAAAATTCGTAAAAATAAATAGTAAACAGAGAACAATGACTATAGACAAAAGAAAAATTTTTTGTCTTATTTTAATTTATTTCCTTTTCTAAGAAATTCATTGTATCAAACTATCGCCAATTGATTGTCGGTCTATCGGCGATTTTTTCTTAATACCGACAAATACCGCTGGTGTGGCGCATATTATACCTAATAGTGTACCGACGTTTTTTTTTGCCCAATTTGAATTATATGAGTATATACATTGATATTCATTGAGCAGTAAAATGTACTACTTCACTCCTAGTGTTTCTCCTATTGTTAAGTACATTTAAAAAAAAAAGAAACAACGAATTTCACATGACTTCGATACTTACCAAGCAGCTCGTGCAAGATATGCTTCAGCACTATTTGGTTGAATTACAAGTGCTTTATTAATATCTAATAATGGTCGTCTATTTGATGATAATTTTACTAATTCATGAGCAGTATTTTTAGTAAACATTCTCATTTTTGCAATACCTCGTTGTAAATAAGCTTCAGCATTTTGATTTGGTTGTTGAAGTTTAATAAGTATAGTTAATTGTTCAATAGCTTGTGGATAACGTTTAAGTTGTATAAGACATTTACTTAAATCTAAATAAGCGCCATGAAGTTCAATTGTTTGATCTGTAATACTATTTGTACAAGCTTGTATACATTTTTCAAATGCATCTCGTGCATCATCAAATCGTTTAGCTTTTATACGTAATTTACCAAGCATACGATAATTAGTAGCTGTTGGATGATATGAACATTCACGTTCCATTATTGATAAAGCATAATCAAATTGTTCAAGAAATGAATGAACAATAGCTTGTTGTTGAGGACTTGATGCATTCATTTTCATTGAAGATGATACTGATGATAATTCATCTTCTTCTGGACTAGATAATGATTGTAATTTAG